CTCAGGAAAGCCTGTCAAAAGCTGTCAGAAACTGTGGAAAGCAGCATGGCCCCTTGCTGGCTTCAGCAAAGCCTGTCCAAAGCTGTCACACACTGGAATGAAGCAGAGCCCTGTCTGGACATTGGCAAAGCTGGTAAAAGCCCTGGGGCACTCTGGAGAGAAGCAGGGCCCCTTGTGGGCTTCGGCAAAGCCCAGGAAAAGACATCAGATGCTGGAGAGGAATAGGGTCCTACATGGGCCATGGCAAAACTGGCAAAAGCCTCAGGATGCTCTGGAAGGCAGCAGGGCCCCTTATGGGTTTCAGCAAAGCCAGGCTAAAGCCAACAGACACTTTTGAAGGCAGAAGAGCCCCATGTGGGTGTCAGCAAAGCCCGGCAGGAGCTGTAGGAGACTGGAAGGCAGCAGGCCCTCTTGTGGGCTTTGGCAAAGCTCAGCAAAAGCCATAGGAAACATGTTTCACGATGCCTCGTAAGACCTTCCTTGGGTACCACAGCCCTCTTTCATCTCTGCAGTGCACTTTGGACCCCTCTTGCGCTCAGAACCATTCCCAATGCCTTCTTTGAGGCCCAGAACACATGTTTTATCCTCTATGCTATCTCGAATTGCTCTGCTCAGTCCCCTCTTTGCCATTTAGGGTACCTCCATTTGGCCCCTGCCCCTCTGACAACATTTGTACTTTGTTGAAATCCCCTTCAGAGTTCCTCATTGTTGTAACTGAGGCTTCTTTGGTCTCTCTGCCCCCCTCAAGACCCCTCTGCTCCCTTTGCTGAGCTCTCCTGAGACATCCCCAGTGCCCCAGAGCACTATTTTAGCTCGGGAGGACACTTTCACCCCTTTTTTCCTCAGAACCCTTCCTGAGTCCATATTTGTTAACCAGGTTGGTCTTTTTGTCCTCTCATCCTTTTGGCATGCCTCCATTCAGTCCCCGGCCCCCTGAGGGCATCTGTACCTTGTTAAATTCCCTTTTGAGTTCCTCATTGTGTCCCTAGGACTTCTTTGGTCTCTTCGGCCTCCTCTCTAATCCTTGTGACGATGTCTACTGTTCTGTCAGAACTTTTTTTGAAGTCATCTTTGTGCTCCAGAGCAGTCTTTTTGTTTCTATGCCTTATAGTATGTTTCTGTTCGGTCCCTGGTACGCCAAAGATACCTCTTGTCAGCTCTGATCTCCTCGGGTTTTTCAGGGAAGGCGAGAGCCTTCTCTTGCTTTCGTAGTCCTACAAGATGCATTTCTTGTATTTCCATGCTTTTTGGGATGTTTTCTATCCTTTGGGTCCATCTATTTCTGTTAAGGGAGTTAGACCATTGAGGCGTCTTGGTGACTCACGAGTCGCTGGTGATTTACAGTCAATAATTCACTTTGCAACCAGAGATACATTTGTGAAGGGATTCGTAGGGGATCTAGTTCTGCTTTGCTGTTCAGCGCTCCCCAGAATGCAGCTCTGGTGTAAGTTAGGAAATACGGCCGGTCTTGCTAGAAACATAGCCACATGCTGCTTGATTTCTTCGATCGGAAACTAAAGCACGTCATTTCTGCTATTGCATTTAATGGGCGACTTTCCCACATGCGTTAGCGTGATCTCAAGCTTTTTAAATCTATTTAAATACAAGTTCGTGTTTGTCCTAGTAAAGTTAACTACCAATCCAGTCCCACTGCTGGCGTGGCAGGCGAGGCGGTAGCGAAAGAGCAGGCGTCGTCATTTCCGGTAACGGTCCGTCCCTTTGTTCGGCGCCCAGCGCGGGGCCGAGCGCCCGCCCACGGCCCGCCCGCCAGCCCCTTTCCCGGGGCATTGTGGGAAGGTGGCGGGCGGGGCTCCGTGGGCAGGAGGCGCGGCCGCCCCGCCGGGAGCGGGGTCGGGCCTGGGCAGCCGCGGGGCGGGCTTCGGCCCCTTTGGGTCGGCCGCGGCTCCAGCTGGCCGAGCTGTTCGGGCAGCTGCGTTCTGGCGTGCAGAGCGGTCGAGGTGTGGGTCTGAGGTGGGAGCTTCGGGGTGAGTCTAGGTTGAGCCGTGTCTGCGGTAGAAGGTGCATCTGTGGTCCACAGCTTGTTGTTGGATCAGCGATCGTATATGGGGTGGTCAGGAGTTGCAAGGTGGTTTAATATGCTGCATTCTCGATTTTTTTGTTTTGGGTGCGTTGCTATTTTTTGGCATTTCTGAGTTTACTGTAGAGGGAACCTTGTTTTTTTCACTGGTTCTGCCGGATATCATTGAAGTTGCTGACATCATATTTTTCTGTGGGACTGATGGTAAGATCATCGAGCAGGGGTTAGGGTGAGCATCTTCCATCTATCTGGAGTTTCAGCATTTCTCAAGAAAGCAGCAGGCATATTGGGCACAGTGTTTTTCAGGGCATGGGACGGCTTGTTGCCTTTCCCGATCACCCACAAGGTACCACGTTGTCCCTAGAGCCTTTGCAGCATGCAGCAGGCCCTTTCCAGGCTATAAGTGTCTGAAATTCATTTACTATGTGGGCCTGTAGTAGAGTGCAGAGCCTGTGGAATGTCAGAGGACAGGAGGTACCTGCAGGAGGCAGGGCAGGGCTTGGAAGAGGTGCTCCTGAGGAGCAGCTGACACAGGGAGTCCAGGGGTGCAAATACAGGGCAAGTAGCTGTTGGGAAGGAGCGGGGTTTCTTCCCCAGCAGTTAAGAAGAGAAGGGGTTTCTAAAGTTTCAGGACTGAGGGATTGGTTGGGAAAGAGAGGTGGGTTCATCAGTTGTCCTCAGACTGGTTTTGCAGTCAGATTTAGCTGTCGATGAGGTCTGTTCAGTCTGAGTCATTCTGCAGCCAATACAAGGTACGACAAAGCTACGAGAAATGCAGTGTCAACCATCTGGGCCTCTATGTCACCATGCATGGAGCTGACTGTCAGATGGGTCTTATCCCCACAGGAGGTCCTGAGGTACAAGCTCTGGTGACGATAGAGCTGAAGTGGATGACAGGCTGTTTGGAATTAAGTGGTAATGGAGGGGATAGGATGATTTAAGGGTGTTTTAATAGGGACATGCCATAGCTTAGGTGTGAGCATAGGAAACTCCGAACTATGGCTCAGAAACATCAAGGGCCAGAGACGTACCAGGATCACCTGTACAAAGCAGGCCACAGCGGGAATAGTACCCGTTGCTCATTTGGTATGTGAGATGTACATTAAAATATACTGGCCAGAACTCTGAGGTCTCTGCTCCCTTGTGCCTTTTAGTCACCACATTCCCTGACTTAATTTTCATGTTCATCCCTTCACCGTCCATCCAGGTGTCATGGTCACTGCTACTTAGAGGCATTGACACGGCACTTATGTCCGTTGCAGATTTCTGGCACAGTCTTCCCTGAAATTTCTCAGAGAAGAATATGTACATTATGCCGGCTCATAATGGTCTCTGTCCAGGGGCCTTTTCTTTTTCGCAGTCCCTGGGCACACAAGCCGCCTCCATTATCCCAGTTTTACTTTTTTCCCTTAACTGTCCAATGAGGTTTGCTTTAGTATCAGTCATGGCAGTTAGGTTCTCTTGTCCTTGTTTATTGTGTTTTCAGCACCAGTTTCTGTAGCTGTAGAGTGTCTGTTTTAGATCTTGAGTCGCCACGTCACGCCATTGTGGTTTTTCCCATTGGCTGGCCACCTCTGTAATAGCATAAGGGGCTTCGTAGGTAATTGGGCTTGGGTGTGTGGCAGGTACACCCGCCCCAACAGGAAATGAAACTTTTCTGGGCAGGAAGAAGAGGAAAAAAACCCACCTCCATAACAGGTGTCTTGAGCCACTTTCAAGGCAGGCCTCATCCTCAGGACTTCATCTGTTGGGCAGTCTTGGTTGCCACGTTCAGAGCTCTTGCAACAGAAGGTAAGAATTGAACTGCAGGCTGAAAGCAGAATAAGAATCCAAAAGGCAGAAGGAAAACCAATGTTCCCAAGAATCAGAAATTCAGAAAAGGATGGAGAAAGCGGTAATAAAACTTCCCCTCAGTACAGTACCTGAACACATACAGGATCTTTTCCTTCCTTTCAAGCTTACAAATTCCTCATAGGAATTCAGCCTGTGTCAAAAATTAAAACAAGTTTTTCTTCTTCTTTTTTCTTTTTGTCCTTCTGTAATGGCACTGTGTGTCCTCCTGCAAGGCTCTTGGAGGTGTGAAGGAGCTCCCTGCAGCACACGTTGGTTCTTGGAAAGTTGATAAATTCAAGGACTTGGCTTCTTTAGTGAAGATGAGCTTCAAGTTCAGGGGTTACATTGGTGCTTTTGTTTGTTTCAAGTCTGTCCCAAAGCCCATGGGACGTGCTCAAATGATAAATCAGATGCAGGTAAAGACCGTGGGGCAGACTTGGTCTGTGCTTCACTCTTATATCTTCCAGGGCAGCTCTGCTGAATTGTGGTTTCTACAAGAAGCTGTATGTTGCACAGGGTCCCATAACTAGTCCTGTGCCTGTTGCAACCCATCCAACCTGATCCATATCAGGGGCAAGCAGCAGAAACAAGCCTGTTTCTTTCCCATTGGTGCCTCGTCTCCAGTGTAGGGAAGGTTTTTCTGGGAAGGTAGGGAGAAAGCTCCAAAGAAATCATAAATATCACCCCAGAAGAGCCTGAGACTCCTGCTGCTTGAGGGCTAGGCTGGTGCTGACTTGTGGGTGGACTCTAAGATGCTGGGGAAGAAGGGAAACAACATGTAGCAAAAAGGCTTGTGGGAGAAGGATCTGTCAAAACCCCTTTTCTCTGGGTGGAAAAACCCCCAGCAAATGCTGACAGCCACCCAGGAGAAGTAGAGTCTCCCAAGGAAGTGGAGGAGGGATCTCAGAGGGGTTGCATGGGGCTGTGGGTTCCAGGGACAGAGTGAGCCCTGAGTCCTCTATGAAGTGAGGGGAATAAAAAATTGCTTTCAGGCACAGTCATTATGGCAACACAGAGGCTTCTGGTAAGCTGTGCTTGTTTACTTGCATCATCATCACAACAACAATAATGAAATCCATTTCCTTACTCTTTCTCTCTGTGCAATGGATGTCACTGTTGCTCTCCACAGGAAAGTCACCAAGTGCTGGATCCCTAACCTGGGATGGCAGGGAACAGAGTTCTGCTCCTCCTGGGTGAGTGCGGCAAAGGGGTCTGGTGGGAAGCGTGGTGGGGTCTGGTGCCTGCTGTCCTTCCAGGGGATGGACAGCCAGTGTGGATGCCAGGAGGTAATGTGTGCCCAAAGAGCCCCAGTGAGCTTCGGGGGCTGGAGGACGAAGACTCCATCTCCAGCACAAGCTCTGCTGGGCACTTGTCCCTTGTACCTCTTTGGGGCTGGGGGTTTTGTCTGGATAGGGTTTTGCTTTGCTCAGGGAAGGGGGGATTTTCGTTTATCCTGCCAGGCTGAGGAGATTGGACGGAGCAGTGGTTGTCCCTGTCACAATGTAGGCTCAGGATTTCCTCCTTGGGGTGGTCTCATTTATTGGGGAGGAAGGAAATGGGTCCAGCAAGGCTGGTGGGTATGAGCGTGGTGAGGGTGGGGATGCCATGCTCTGGAGCGGTGGGGTGTTGCTGGTGGGTGTCTCAGGGACCTGGCAGGCCTTGCCAAACCCTCCCTTCCACAGGCTCATGTCCAAGGCCAGCATTGCTCCCTTCTATGCCAGGGACGCTGCAGGAGACCTGGCAGGCACATCCCAGGAGTGCTCATTCCTTCTTCCTTTCCTCCTCTCAGCTCAAGCCCTTGTCCTTGCTGGTGAGTCTGTTTGCTTGCAGAGTTACGGTGACAGTCCTTGGGGCCCTGAACAGTTCTTGCTGAACAAGGCAACAGGCCTTAGTGTCCCCTCAAGCGGCAGCAAGTCATGTTGCGACTCTGCTGTCCTTCCACGTGCTGCCTGGCTCAAAAGGTGTCTGGCAGCACTGGGCACCAGGCACAAGCCCTGCCACCCCTCTGAAAGATTAGACAGTCTCCCCATATCCCACCAGTGCCCTAGAAACCCCAGTGAGCATTGGGGTTCTGCCCTCTTCCCCGCTTCCAGAGTACGTGCTCAGGGTTGGGGGCTCCCCACCATGCATGCTGTTGCACTGATCTCTGCTCTGTCCTGCTCCTCCCTCCTACCTGGACCTTCGTGGCTGCAGAGATAGCCATGCTGACCCTGGACCCACCCTGGAGCATGATACTTCCAGGAGAGAGCATGATCCTTAGGTGCTGGGGCTCTCGCTCACTGTGGCAGCACCCCACAGCTTGGTACAATGGCAAGCTCTTGGCACCCACAGATACGTACACCTACAGGATCAGAATGAGTGTCAAAGCCCTGGCTCCAGGCACAGCAACTGTGTCACCCTGACTGTCTCCTATGGTGAGTGACATGACCCAGGGATGAGCCCTGCTATCCTCCTGCCCCAAGACCCCTAGGCTTCGCTGTGGACCTGCTTGTCCTGCCCTGGGACAAATGCAGCTCCTGTGGGGTTAACAAAGGCAACGCTGTTGGGTTTGGGGTGCTGCAAACAGGGTTATGGGGGCTTTTGCCTCCCCTCCTCTGCAAAATGCATCCCTCTTTCAGGGCCCCTTGCAGCTGCTGCTGTTGGGGTGTCTTCCAGACTGGCTGACCCTCTAGGTCCTGTTGTACATGGTGTTCAAGGGGGAACTGCTACCCATGCAGTGCTGGGAATGGGATGGCAGGGCACATCTTCGGTGCGGTATTACAGAGATGGAGCTGGCATCACTCTGCGATACACCTCAGCAGAGCAGCATTCCATCTCCTGACCTGAGACCCACCACAGTGACAGGTATCACTGCTCCTTTTCATCGCTGAAAGGCAGTCTTGGGTTTTATACATTTCCACTGAAGGTAAATTCCTGTATCTTTGGGCTCTCCGTCTTCCCAGGGTCTCATCTGGTGGGAGCTACAGGACAGAGAGGGTGAGGGGTTCTGTATGATGTCTGAGCTGGGTCTGTGCTACCAATGCCAGTGCAGGAAACCTGGCACCTGCCCACCACCAGAAAAAGACGTGCCCGGTCACAACCCCCAGCCTGGCTCTAGGACACTCCCCACACCCATCTTGGGGTCTCGGCCCTGCACAGCCTTGGTGGGGTGGGAAGATTGTCCCTTCCTTCCTGCATCTTTAGAGGTGATGCAGCCCCAGAAGGTCCATCCGACAAGATGTGCCCCATCTCCCCCCTTCCTCACACTGTCGCTCCCACAACTCTGATGTCCCATGCAGACTGATACACCAATCCCTGGGGCTTGCTCCGGGCGAAAAAAACCTCCTGTTCCACATGTTCCCTGTGCTGCTTCTCCCCCCTGGACCTTTAAAGCAGTCGAATGCAAAGGACAGAAACGCTCCAGCCACTCGGGTGCTTTTTGGTATGGAGGCAATGAAGATTAGTGCCCGGGCTGCGAGTGGGGAAAGGGCAGGGAAATGCAAGCCCCGTACCCCCAGTACGTAGTTCCCGTCTTTGGCTGGTCTAAACTGGGCTGAGCTGTCAGTCATTTCTCATCCAGCTGATGCCCGGAACAGCATCGTCCAGCTCACCGCTGCCGCCCGGCGACGAAAAGGCGGTACTGCAGCTCGGGCGCCGCTTCTGCGCTCTACGCTGCCGTCCGCCGGTAACGGCGACGCGATGCTGCGGTGCCTGCGGGTCCCTGCCCCCGCCGCCGCTCTCGCTGCTGCTACCTGGCGGCCGAAGCGTGGCGCTGCAGCCGAGGGTTCGCGCGCCGGTTCTGGCCCCTCCTGCGCGCCCTCGGCGACCGGCGCATGCGCGGTCCACGGGAGCGGCACGGCGGCGCCGAGGGCGCGGGTGTCGGCGTCCGCGGGCGAGCGCCGGGACCAGCGGTGAGGCGAGCGATCCCCTTCGGCGAGGCTGGGGGGCGTCTCCTGCCCTCTGGCCGCCCGGGGGTGGCGGGACGGGAAGCTTCAAAGCTGCCGCTGCGGCAGGCTCCCAGTCTGCTGGAGGCGAGCCGGGCCAGGGCAGCCCCAGGGAGTTCTCCGAGAGCTGACAGAAGGCCAGAGCGGACGGAGGCGGACACCCCCCGGGCGCAGCCGCTGGGCGCCTCCCCAACTCGCCAGAGCTCCCCCGGAGCCTCCCTCGGCCCCGCTCGCCCCGTGCAGCTCCAGCCCCTCCCCTGAAGCCTGTCCTGTAGCCCCAGGCAGCCCCCAAGCCCTGTCGTGGAGGGCAGCGAGCTGGCCCTCAGTGCACCTCCAGGAGCCCCTGCAGAAGGAGCAGCTCTGGCGAGTGGCAAACTATGGTAATAATGGTCGCTGCTTCTTTCCCTCTCCCAGAGGCTGCGCTGAGGATGCCTTTGTCCGTTCCTCCCTTGGGGATGCTGTTGACTGCACCCGCCTCAGGCTTGTGTGGGCTGACTCTGCCTGGTCTTGCTCTACTCGCAGCATGGGAGCAAAAAAGGGACAGGCGGAGCGCTTACTGGCTGTGGGCAGGAGCTGCTGTAGCTGGAGAGGCCAGAGAAAGGTAAAGATGAAGAAATTGAAGGCCATCTGGCCAGCAGCTGCCTCCCGCTGCAGGCAAGAGAGAGCCTGCTTCTCCAGGTGAGGAAGGATCCCTCTTTGTAGTCCGCAGCAGGCCAGGCTGCCAACATGCACTGCAGGGTCTGTATGTGTCACCAACAGTGCCGTACGGCCACACAGTGCACAAGCGAGCGAGCCTACCTGCTCCCTCTTCCTCTCTCCCTTTCTCTCTCTCTTGTTCTACTGCTCCGTTTTCTTTTTCTATCTGCACTTTTGTCCTGCTCCCTATCCCTCTTTTGTTTTCATCCTCTGCCTCTGTCCTGCATCCCATTGCTGTTTTTTCTTTTTCCATCTCTTTGCCCTGATCTGCATCTGTCTCTTTTTTTCCACAATTTCTCTGGCTTGTTCCCTGGCATTCTTTTCCTCTCTGTGCCTGTATGTGCTGCTCCGTGTCCCTGCCTTCCTATCTTCCTCCCTCCTTCCTTCGCTTTCTCTCTGTATCCCTTTGTCTTGCTCACTGTCACTGTTTTTTTTCATTCTGTATCTCACTGCCCCTCTTCTCCTTCCTGTTCATCTCTTACTCTCTCTGACCCTTTGTGCTGCTCCCTTGCATCCTACTCCCTCCCTCCCTCCCTCCCTCTCTATCACACTGTCTTGCTCCTGATCCTGCTCTTTCTTTCTACCCTTCTGATGTGTGTGTCCCCCAACCCCTCCTTTTACATGTCCTGGTCTTTCTACATCCTTCTGTCATTCTCCTTCTCTTCCTCTATCCTGCTGCCCATCACTATTTTTTTTCTCTTCCATCCCTTTGTCGTGCTCCCTGTCCTTGTCAATCTTTCCCTTTGTTCTGCTTTCAGTCTTTGTTTTCTCCATCTGACTGTCCTTGTCCCTGTACCTTCTTCTCTCTGCTCCTCAGCCCTGCTCCCTCATCTTACTCTTCTTTCTGCCATGCTTCTCTTTTTCTCTGGACCCTCTGTGCTGTTCCCTTTCTTTTTTTTTCTCCAATTGTCTGTTGTCTTACCTGTCCCTCTCTGTCTCTCTTCTGTCCTGCTCCCTGTCCCTATTATTTCTTGCTTCACCTCTCTGTCCCTGTTTTTTCTGTCTTGCTCCATCTCCCTGTCATTTTCTTTGCTGCTCTCGTTGGCTTTCTATCCCAGTGTCCTGCTCGCTGTCCCTCTCTCTTTTGCAGTATCCCACTTTCTGGCGCCCTGTCCCTCACCTGTTTTCTATATGCCTCTGTCCTTCATCCTGTCTTTCCTTGTCCCTCTGTTCTGCTACCCATCACTGTCTTCTTTTTTCCTCCATTGTTCTGCCTTGGTCCTGTCACTCTCCTCCTCTCTCTCTCTCATGTTTCTTTCTCCATCCCTGCCCCACTCCCTGTCCTTTTTCTCCTATGCTCTGTCCTCCATCCTCCTCCTAACTTTTTATCTGTGTATGTCCGTACTGCTGCCTGTCCCATCATTTGTTGCTATATCCCCCTGCCCAGCTCACTGTCCCATTATTCCCCTCTGTCCTGCTCCCTGGCCTTTTTTCTCATCCTGCAGCCCAGCACTGGTTTTCCTTTTTCCATCTGTTTGTCCTGATCTTTCTCTCTTTTCCCCTCAATCCCTCTGGCTTGTTACCTGTCCTTTTCTCTCCTTCCTGCCTTCTTTATTCCTCTCATTCAATTTCTTTCTCAATCCATCTGTTCTGCTCCCTGCTCATCATTTTCTCTCTCTGTCCCTCTGTCCTGCTCCCTGACCCTGTTTTTCTTCTGCCATGTCCATGCAGGGCTCCTCATCCCTTTTTAACTGATTTCTCCACCTCACTGTCTTTTTCCCTGTACCTTTCTTTCTCTGCTCCTTAGTCCTTCTCCCTAACTTTATTTTTCTCTTTCTGTTCCTCTATCCTGTTCCCCACTGCTGTATTTTCATTCTCCGTATCTGCTGCTCCAGTAATGACTGCTGAGTTGTCCCGGGGGAAGGGTGAGTATACAGGCACTGAGCCCCAGAGCAGACTCACTCCTGGGACTTACATGCATTAATGAATAAACACTTGCTGTGTCCTTTTCACTCATGGCTGTGTTTGTAGTCCTTTGTACTTGGTGAGTGGCTGTCATAATGTCCAGGGTAGCAGGTTACGTAGTGGGTGTAAGGGGCCATGGCTGGGGCTGTGGAGGAGCCCCAGGGGGGGCCAGCGAGGCTGATGGCAATGGCCCCTCTGTGTAAATGGGCTGCAGCCCCAGAGTGTGGTGCTGCTGGGGCATGGCTGCCTGAGAGTGCTGACAAGCTGAGAGGATGTTTCCAACAGACAGGTTGACAGTCACTTGGAGTCAGGCCCCATCAGGGCAGCTTCTGGGGATTTTCTGAGAGCTGGTGGAGAGGAGGCAGGAAGAGGGGCAGGAGATGGCTGCCCCCACCCCTCCAGGTACCTGGAGGCCTTCCCACCCCCTGGAAAAGGCCCTGAGTGCCTCACCAACTCAACAAAACTCCAGCCCTGCTCACCCCATGCAGCTGCTCCCAGCTCCAGCACCTCCCCTGAAGCCTGTCCCATAGCCACAGACTGGCCCCAGACCCTGTTCTCAGGGCAGCAAGGTGGCCCTTGAATATGCTTTATTGCACCATAAGTGCAGGTGCCATTAGCATCAGTTTGGGGAAAGAGCGGTGTCTCCAGAAGCTCCTGGAGAAGGAGAGGTTCCTGCCTGAGGAGAACTACCGTCATCACTGTGGATAACAGTTGCTTGTTCTTTCCCAGAGGCAGCACTGAAGACTCAGTTGTCAGTTCCTCTCTGGGGATGTTGTTGACTGCCTCTGGCTCAGGTTTGTGTGGGTTGCCTTTGGCCTCATTCTCCTAGCGGCAGGGGTGAAAAGGGATAGCTGGAGACTTACTGGCTGTGGACAGGAGCTGCAGTGGCTGAAGCTGGAGAGGCCAGAAGAAGGTAAAGCAGCTGAAGAATAAAATAAAGGGCAGACAGGAGACAGCCTGCCTCTCCGGGTGAGGAAGGATCCCTCTTAGTGCAGTTCTCAGCAGATCTGATCGCTAATGTGTACAGCAGGGTCTGTATGCATAACCAAAAGCACACTACAGCCATGTAGTGTGCGCATGTGAGGCTATGTATGTATCTGGGAAGCCTCATGTTTTAAGAGCTGTAAGACACCAATCTATGCTTTTAGGTGGATGACAGTCAAGTGACCAGAGCTACAGAGGAGGAGTGGGGGGAGAGAGAGACAAAGACATGTCCAAACTGTCAAATTCTCCCAACACCTCCAAGAGTGGGATCTGCAGTGAGTCCTGGACCCTTGGGGTCATGTTGCCTCTCTACTGCATCCCAGGTCCCTCCCTGCCCCCCCTTCTCTCACTGCTGTAATTTTTTTCTGTTTCCCTGCACCTCTCCCTCTCTCTTTCTTCAAGTCCCCCTCTTTCTTTGTTGTTCTACCCCTCTGTTTTCTTTTTCAGTCTGTGCTTCTGTTCCCTGTCCCTCTTTTTTTGCACCCTCTGCCTTGCAGCCTGTCACTATTTTTGTCTTTCTCCATTTATCTGTCTTCCTATCCCAAATTTTAATTCCTCCCTGTCTGCCCTTTAGCTCTTCACTGCCTGCCCCCCCCCCTTTTCTCTGTCTGGTGCTGTGCCTCTATTTTAAAATACCTCTTTCTCTGCCCTGTATCCTAGGTATACTTTTTCTTTCTTAGATTCTCTCATTCCAGGTCCCTGTCCCTATGTTTTAATTTCTTCCCTCTCTATCCTGTAGCCCATTTTCCTCTTTACTGCTCACTCTCCATCTGGCTTACTGTCCCTATTCTTTAATTCCTCTCCCTCTCCCCTTTAGCTCATCGAGTTTTTTTGGTATTTCTGTCTCTCTCTGTCTACCCCACTGTCACCTTTTTAAATTCCTCCCTCTCTACCCTGTGGCCCATCACTAATCTTTGTTTTTCTCCATCTCTCAGTCTGGTTCCCTCTCCCTTCCTCCTCTCTGGTCTGTAGCCCATTGCTATTCCCCCACCGCCCCACCTCTCTCTCTGTGGCTCCCTTTGCATATTTTTCAATCCCCCCACCTCTGCCCTGCAGCCCATCGCTGTTGTATTGGGTTTACGTGGCAAGGTTTTGCTAGCAGGGGCCGGCAGGGGCTACAAGGGTGGGTTCTCTGAGAGGGCACTCGGCGTTGCCCCCATGTTGGGCACAGCCAGTTCCAGCTCCACGATGGATCTGCTGCTGGTCAAAGCTGAGCCTATTGGCAATGCTGGTAGTGCCTCTGTGATGACATATTTAAGGGTGGCTAAAAAATGCTGCACAGAAGCTGTGATAGAGAAAATGTGAGTGTGAAACAGCCCTGCAGACACCGAGGTTGGCGAAGAAGGAGGAGGAGGAGGAGGTGCTCCAGGCACCGGAGCAGAGGTTCCCCTGCAGCCTGTGGGGAAGACCATGGTGAGGCAGGCTGTCCCCCTGCAGCCCAGGGAGGTCCAGGGTGGAGCAGATGTCCACCTGCAGCATGTGGAGGACTCCACACCGGAGCAGGTGGATGTGCCTGAAGGAAGCTATGACCCTGTGGAGCCCGTGCTGGAGCAGGTTCCTGGCTGGACCTGTGGAGAGGAGCCCACACTGGAGCAGGTTTCCTGGCTGGACCCATGGGAGAGACCCCACAGTGGAACAGAAAAAGAAGGAGGAAGGAGCAGCAGAGACAACTCGGGGGGAGGAAGTAGAGAAGTCAGGAGTGAAGATGAGCCCAGGAAAAAAAGAAAAGGGTGGAGGGAAGGTGTTTTTTAGATTTGTTCTTATTTCTCATTATCCTACTCTTATTTTGTTTGACAATACATTAAATTAATTTCCCCAAGTTGAGTCTGTTTTGCATGTGACAGTAATTGATGAGTGATCTCTTTGTCCTTATCTCAACCCACAAGTTTTTTTTGTTGTATTTTCTCCCCCTGTCTTGTTGAGGAGGGGGAGTGATATAGAGCTTGGTGGGCACCCGTCGGCCAGTCAAGGTCAATCGACCAGAGTTTCCTTCTATCAGGCTCCCTGTTCCTATATTTTAATTCTTGCCTATGTTTCTTGTACCCCATCGATTTTGAAACTTACTTTCTATTTCTCCATCCCTATTTTTTTAATTCTTGCATATGTTTCTTGAACCCAGTCACTTTTTAAATTTTCTTGCTACCTGTCCATCTTTCTGCCTCCCTGACTTAATTTTAATTTCTTGCACCCTGTCGCTTTTCAAATTTCCTTCCTGTGTCTCCCTCTATGCAGCTCCGTGTTCCTGTTTTTTTTAATTCTTGTCTATGATTCTTGTATCCTGGTGCTTTCAAAATTTTCTATGTCTCCCTCTGTCCATCTCCTTCCCTGTCTTTAGTTCATAATTCTTCCCTCTCTGTCCTGTACCCTGTTGCTTTTTATATTTTTTCCTGCATCTCCCTCTTTCTATCTCCTTGTCCCCATTTGTTAGTTCTTGTGTATGTTTCTTGCACCCTGTCACTTTAAAAAATTTTATTTCTGTGTCTACCTCCATCCGGCTCCCTGAGTCTATATTTTATTTCTTGCCTAGGTTTCTTTTCCCCTATCATGTTAGAGTTTTTACCTATCCCTTGTCTTACCTCTATCTTGTCCTGCTGGTCCCTTCTGCCTCTTTCTCCTCCTCCCTGTCTCTATTATTTGTTACTCCATCTCTCTGTCCCTGTTTTTTTCTCAATCTCTCTGCTCTCCTCCCTTGTCCTGCTCCCCATCCCTCTCTTCTTCACAGCATCCTGTTTTCTGGCTCCCTGCCCCACACCTCTTCTCTATGTCCCTCTGTCCTCCTGCCTTTGGGCGCTGAGCCTTGTAGCCAACTCACTGCCAGGATTTCTTATGTGCATTAATGAGTAAATTTTCCCTGCCTCCTCTGTGCCCCTGGATGTGGGTGGGTGCAGGGGAGGGGGTGGTGTGCTGTGGGGCTTTGGCAATGGCCCCTGTTTCCGATGGGCTCCAGCTGGGGCTGGGGCAGCCCCAGGTGTGGCCAGTGATGCTGAGGATGGGGCTGGCCCTGGTGGGTGAAGGGGCTCCAGCTGTAAAAGGGGCTGCCTGGGCAAGCCTGCCTGAGGGAGCTGATGAAGGGGAACTGGCTGAGGAGGGAGTCCAAGGGGGTCCTGCTGGCAGGTGCCTCCAGCAAGGAATGGCCAGTTCCTGCGATGAGGAAGGATCTCTCTGAGCCATCCCCGACAGAGCAGACCACCAGCACGCGGTGCTGGGAGCTCAGCACCTCTGTCGGCTACGTGCGTGAGCTGCCGTGTATTGGGGAAGCCTTGTGGGTGAGGAGCGTTGAGGTGTCCGCTGCGTGCTGCAGAGCGGGTGAGGGCCAGGCAGGTGGCACTACGGAAGAGGAAGGGGCAGAGAGAGAAGCGTCGTGGCAGTGAAGGTCTCCTCGCCAGGAGCTGTGGTGAGTTGCACGTTCTCTCCTGTGCGTCTCGGTCCATCTTTGCTGCCCTGCCCAGGTCCCTGCCTGTCCCTGCTCCTGTCTCCCTCTCTGCCAGCCCGCCTACCTGTCTGGCTCCCTGAAAGTTGTTACTCTTCTGCCAACTTTGCCCTGTACCACTTCACCTACTAATTTTTTTCTATGTTTCCCTCTCTGTGGCTCCCTCTCCCTATTTTTTAATTCCTCCCTCTGTCCTGTACCCTGTTGCTTTTAAAATTTTATTTCTATGTTTCCTTCCATCCATCTCTATTTTTTAATTATTTCCTGTGGTTTTTTTGTACCCTGTCACTTTAAAAATTTTCTTATTGTGGTTCCTTCTATCCATCTCCCTGTCCCTGTTTTTTTAATATGCCTGTGTTTTTTGTACCCGATCACTTTTTAAATTTTCTTTCTACATTGTCCTGTATCCATCTCCTGTCCCTATGTTTTAATTCTTGTCTATGTTTCTTGTACTTGATTGCTTTTTAAATTCCTTCTATGTCTTCCTCTATCTGGCTCCCTTTCTTGATTTTTTTTTTTTTTTTTTTTTAAATTCTTCCCTATATTTCTTGTACTCCATTGCTATCTAATTTCTCTTTCAACAACGCCCTTTATCTGGCTCCTTTTCCCTAATTTTTAATTTCTTCCTTTTTTCTGCATACCCTGTCACTTTGTAAATTTTCTTTCAGTGTTTCCTTCTTTTCCCATCCCTGTTGCTATTTTTTTCCCTGTGTTTTTTTGTAGCCTGTTACTCTGTAAAATTTCTTTCTATGTCTCCCTCTATCCAACTCCCTGACCCTATTTTTTTAATTCCTCCCTTTCTGTCCTATACTCCATCAATTTTAAATTTTGTTTCTATGGCTACTTGTATCCAGTTCACTGTCTTTATTTTCTAATTCTCTCCTGTCTGTCTTGTACCCTGTTGCTTCTTCAATTTTCTTTCTATGTCTACTTTTATCAAGCTCCCTATTGGTATTTTTTAATTCTTTCCTGTGCCATGTACCCCTGTTCTTATTGTTTAATTTATTCTTGTCTTCCCTTAAAGCTGTTGCGTTTTAAATTTTCTGTCAACATTTATCCACTTTGCTGTCCCTGTTTTTTGTTTTCCCGTCTATCTTGTACCTTGTAGCTTTTAAAATTTTCTTTCTGTATCTACTTTAACCAATTCATTGTCTGTCCTGTACCCCATTGTTTTTGAAATTTTCTTCCTATGTCTCCCTGTATTTTTTCCACCTGTTCTTATTTTGTAACTTTTTCTTCTTCCCTTAATGCCTCCCTTTTGAAATTTTCTTCCTATGTCTTTATCACCCTACCCTTATTTTGAAAATTTTCTTGTCTTTCCTTAATGCCTTTGGTTTTTACATTTTCTTTGTATGTCAACTTTTATCCAGTTTTCTGTTCCATTTTTAATTTTTTTTCCCTGCTTGTCCTTTACCAAGTTGCTATTTAAATTCTTCTTTCTGTCTACTTTAACCAATTCACTGTCTTTATTTTTAAATTTTTTTTCTTGTCTGTCCTGAACCTTGTTGCTTTTTCAGTTGTCATTCTATGTCTACTTTTATCAGGCTCCCTATCCATATTTTTCATTTATTCCTGTCTGTCCTGTACCCTGTTACTTTTAAAATTATATTTGCATGTGTATGTCCCTTTTTTTATCTTTTTTCCCATCTGTCTTAATGCCATTCTGTATTGCATTTTCTTTCTATGTCAACATTTGTTATGTTTGCTGTCCCTATTTTTTATTGTTTTCCTGTCTTTCCTGTACCCTGCTCCCTTTTAAATTTTCTTTCTATGTCTCTGTTCATCTATTTTTCTGTCTCCATTTTTAATTTTTTTTTTCCTGTGTTTCCTGTACCACTTAACTTTTAAAATTTTATTTCTGCGTGTGCTGGTTTTGGATGGGTTAGAGTTAGTTTTCTTCACAGTAGCTGGTATGGGGCTACGTTTTGGATTTGTGCTGAAAACAGTGTTGATAACACAGGGATGTTTTCGTTATTGCTGAGCAGTGCTTACACAGAATCAAGGTCTCTTCTGCTTCTCACGCCACCCCACCAGCGAGGAGGCTGGGGGGGCACAAGAAGTTGGGAGGGGACACAACTGGGACAGCTGACCCCGACTGACCCAAGGGATATCCCATGCCATATGACATCAAGCTCAGCATATAAAGCTGGGGGAAGGAGAAGGATGGGGGGGGACATTCAGAGTGATGGCATTTGTCTTCCCAAGTAACCGTTGCATGTGATGGAGCCCTGCTTTGCTGGAGATGGCTGAACACCTGCCTGCCAATGCGAAGCAGTGAATTAATTCCTTGGTTTGCTTTGCTTGCGTGCGTGGCTTTTGCTTTACCTATTAAACTGCCTTTATCTCAACCCACAAAGTTTACCTTTTTTTCCCTGATTCTCTCCCCCATCCTGGTGGGGGTGGGGAGTGGGAAAGCAGCCGTGTGGTGCTTAGTTGCTGGCTGGGGTTAAACCATGATGGTCCTTTTTGGCACCCAATGTAGGGCTCGAAAGGTTCAAGATAATGACAGATTTGATTTGAATGCGCTTGATCAAATTTATAGCTGTTATTGTTGTTTAGCTATTAATCAACAGGCTTCTGTGCTTGCCATGGCACTTGCTTGCCTTACTGTATATTAGAGTCTAGCGCTCATCAGCGGCTGCTTTTTGTTTTCGCTGCTTGCTGTAGTGCTGTACTGCTTATCATCTTATTCTGCTGTGCCTGGGAACATTTTGATAACAGCAATGGTGATGCACAGGGGCTGGCAGATGGCCAGGGCATCGCTGCTGTTTCTGTGGTGCTGTACTGGACAGGCTGGAACTCCAGTGTGAACTCAAGTTGAAGGGACTGTGACCTGCGGATGAGTTCATGTGGGAGCAGGACACCCTGAAGTGTCTGTGGCCATGGATAAGCCCATGCCAGAGCAGGTACATCTCGAAGTGTCTGTGGCCGCAGTTGTGTCTGTGCCACAGCAGACGTACCTCTGAAGGGATTGTGGCCCAAGGGTAAGTCCACACTGCAGCAGGTATTGCTTGAAGCATCAGTGGCTGTGCTGGTCACGCTGGAGTACCTCAAAGCGTGTGGCCATGGATAAGCCCACGACAGAGCAGGTACACCCCTGCAGGGACTGCAGTCACGGGAAAGGCCATGTTGGAGCAGGTTTACTTCTGAAGGGACTGTGGCTGTGGGTAAGGCCGTGCTGGAGGAGGTATATCTCCGAAGGCATTGTGGCCCATGGATAAGGCCATGCTGGAACAGGCGCACCTCAAGGCAACTGTAGCTGTGGATAAGTCTCTGCCGCAGCAGGTATACCCCTGAAGAGACTCCAGTCTGTGGATAAGTCCAAGCCGGAGCATGGGCAAGGTGAGGAGTTCATTGCAATGTTAAACCCTGTGGTCTGGTCCAAAGGGACCAGGGGTGGAGATTGTAATGGAAATAACTTTAAATTGTAACCCATGATTGAGTTGTATGTTATAGGAATTAATATAGCAGGAACCACCCAAACCAATGGAGGCCAAGCCTTACAAGAAGCAGCGCAAGCGCAGCAGCGACCTGACCTGAGCTGGCTTTGGTGCCCAGTAACTCCACGCAACACACCACCTCTGCTGTCCTGAGTGACCACTGTGACAGGTGGAGCCCAAAGTCAGGGACTAAATTAACTCAGTGGACATTTTGTGGACGTTTTATGGACATTTTAGAGGGGTGGTCCATAGACTAAGAGAATATCTGTATGTTGTATCAAAGGATGGGAAGGGAGGTGGCGGTTAATGAGGATGTATTGGATAGTGTGGGACCTGAGCGTGACGTAAATGGTGTGGAATAAGGGGTGGAGAATGTGCTGGTTTTGGCTGGGATAGAGTTAATTTTCTTCACAGTAGCTGGTATGGGGCTACGTTTTGGATTTGTCAGAAAACAGTGTTGATGATACAGGGATGTGTTAGTTATTGCTGAGCAGTGCTCGCACAGTGCTAAGGGCTGTTCTGCTCATCACCCTGCCCTGCCAGCAAGCAGCTGGGGGGCACAAGGAGTTGGGAGGGGGACACAGCTGGGACAGCTGACCCCAACTGCCCAAAGGGATAGTCCAGACCATATGATGTCATGCTCAGCAATAAAACTCGGGGTGGAGGTTGGCTTTATGAAGATGGCTATTACTACTTTTTAATTATTGCCTGTCATGTAACCCATTGCTTTTAAAATTTTCTATGTCTACTTTTATCCAGTTCACTGTCTTTATTTTTTCATTTTTTGTCTCTGTTCTGCACCCCATCAGTTCTAAATTTCTTTTCTATTTCTCAGTTTTAGTTCACTGTCACTATTTTTTAAATTTTTCCTGTCTGTCCTGTGCCCAGTCACTTTTAAAATTTTCCTTGTCTACTTTTATCAAGCTGCGTATCGCTATTTTTTAATTCTTTCCTTGCTATTGTCTACCATGTTGCTTTTTACATTTTCTTTCTATGTCTACTTCAGCCTAATTACTGCCTTTATTATTTCTTTATTTCCTTAATCACAGTTGCTTTTAAAATTTTCTGTCTGCTTTTATCCCATTCGCAGTCTTTATTTGCCTACCTTTATTTTTTAATTATTTCTTGTCTTTGCTTAGTGCCCTCGCTTTTTTGATATTCTTTCTATGTCTGTCACTTATTTTTTTAATATTTCTTTTATTTTCCTAATCCCCCTCACTTTTTAAACATTTTTTCTGTGCCTACTTTTATACCCTTTGCTGGCTTTTTATAATTATTTCTTGTCTTTCCTTAGTGCCATCGCTTTTAAAATTTTCTTTCTGCATCTGTTTTAGTTTGCTGTCCTTATTTCATAATTTTTTCCCTCATTTCCCTAATTCCTATTGCTTTTAAAATGTTCTTTCTATGCTTCCTTTTTTCCTGTTGATGTCTTTATTTTTTTAATTATTTGTCTTCCTTTAGTGCCCTTGCTTTTTAGATTTTCTTTCTACATCTCTGTTTTAGTTTGCTGTCTCTATTTCATATTTTTTCCCTTTTATTTCTGTTATCCTGTCCTGGTTTCAGCTGGGATAGAGTTAATTGTCTTCCTAGTAGCTGGTACAGTGCTATGTTTTTGAGTTAGGTATGAGAAGAATGTTGATAACACTGATGTTTTCGGTTGTTGCTAAGTAGTGTTTAGTCTAAAGTCAAGGATTTTCCAGCTTCTGATGCCTAGCCAGTGAAAAAGCTGGAGGGACACAAGAGGTTGGGATGGGACACAGCCAGGGCAGCTGACCCAAAGTGGCCAACGGGGTATTCCATGCCCTGTGACGTCACATCTAGTATAGGAACTGGGGGGATCGTTGCTTGGGGACTAACTGGGTATCAGTCGGTGGGTGGTGACCAATTGCATTGTGCATCACTTGCATATTCTGTTAAGGAATTTTCCGTCATGGGTTTCTCTAGGTTTGCTTTATTAACAACTCAGACTTGGGCCACTACCGCAGTGAATGGTGAAGGATAACTCAAAAATGCCTTCTATATACACAGTTTTACAAAACATAATGCAATTGATGTCTTGTCAAAAGAAGTTATTGGTGTTCTTCTATGAACTTTCAGTTCTCTATTCTCCAGTGGTTTCAAAAGTCCAATACATTTTCCTGTCTCCACTGATTCTTACTGTCTTGTCCTGGTTTTTCTGAAGTTAGTGGTTCTAGGCAGAAGGTCTCCGGTCACCACAGTCACTTATCTTCTTACACATCAAAGATCACCTTTGAATTTCTGAGAATCACTCAGGTTGTTTTATTAATTCATCTTACTCTAAAGTTAATCACTTCTATCTATTCTTATGTCTTAGGTCTAAGATGTATGATCCTTTTTGTGTTGATTCAGCTTGACTGGGTTTTAAGCCAGCCATGGTGAGGGCTACACAAGGGACAAATAAGCAACTTATACATATTGTTTTATAAGCACCTGCATTCTGTTAATCACATCTAAAACAATCTCTAATCATTAGTTATATGTCTGCTATGAATGGTCTTAGAAACAATGAGGCTTAAGGCCTAGTTCCCTTTACATAGTTTAATCCTTTTATTATTATTATTGTAATTTTATTAATATTATCATTATTATTAGTTTCTTCTTTTCTGTTCTATTAAACCATTCTTAACCCACGAGTTTTACTTCTTTTCCCGATTTTCTCCCCCATTCTACTGGGTGTGGGGGAAGTGAGCGAGTGCCTGCATGGTGCTTAGTTGCTGACTGGGGTTAAACTATGACAGTCCATTTTGGTGCCCAATGTGGGGCCCAAAGGGTTGAGATAACGACAAACCTGACCAGAGCTTGTTAAAACAAATTTGTTACAAGCATTCATTATATTGGTCTAAGAGCCACTGCTCACTATGTTGATTTTTGTGTTCTTAGAGTTATTGCTCTCGTTTTTAAAGTTCTGTTATGTATCACCTCACTTGCTGTGTGTAGTCCCTGTGCTGCTGCTCATCATCCATGGGAGGCAGATTAAGCTTTTCGCTTTGATGTATTGTGTAATACTGGCTTATGGTATGATAAAGTTATCAGTTGTGGGATGAATCCAGTATTTGAACTCAGCACTGTCGTCACCTCTATACTTTGGGAGCCATCTGTGGGAAACTATTAGTAATGACACCCTTTACCTTACCTCCTCGGAAAGCCAATCTATGGGTGGGGTACCTTTCTTCCCCTCTCCTTTCTCTTTCAGTCCAGTTACAATGGTGTTTGAGAATTTTGAAAAATTTGAATACTCTTGGGATGTTGAGACCAGTATGGTCCTAGTCTTACTGCTAGGAACTAGCATGGTCCTCAATGTGTTTCAGCTCTTCTTTAAGGTTAAACAACTATTTAAGAAGATCACCCAGAGATCTGCCCTGAGGCTGGATAATTATGAGTGACAGGGTGTGTGGGGTAGTATGGGCAAGTACCTAGAAAAGTGGGCACCTCCAGTGTTTTGGAAATTCACCCCTGAACAAGTGCAGAATCCGGAAGAACTAGTAAAATATTTGGAAAAGGTATACTGTCACCCCAACAATTCCAGAGAGATACAAATCGCTACAATGTGCTGGGGCCTGGCCCATGCCTATCCCCTGTGCAACACCACTCAGTACCCTCAAGGGGAAGAG